GTCAGCAGAAGGAAACTTATGGAGAAGAAGTTTATTCCGACCTTTAGGGACCCTCAACTACACCAACAATTGGTGGCAAAAGGTACTTTGTGTCATTCACAGATGACAGTACCCATGACACACATGCATATCTTCTTCAATCAAAGGATGAAACCTTTAAAGCCTATAAAGAGTATGAATCCTGGGTCAATACACAAATACAGGTAGCCATTAAAACCCTACATTCTGACTGAGGAGGAGAATACCTGTCAGAAGAGTTCACTCAGCATCTCAAGTCTCGAGGAACTGAACAAAAGCTTACTGTGCATGATACACCTGAGGAAAATAGAGTTGCCAAGAGACTCAACTGCACACTGCTTGAAAAGGTTCATGCTATGCTACATGACAGCAGCCTGCTGAAGTTCCTATGGAGAGAAGCCTTGTTGCATGTGGTCTGGCTGAAAAATTGGACATCAACAAAGGCATTAGCAGGGATCATGCCACATGAGGCAGTTACAGGGAAGAAACCAAATCTTGTGAAGTTACCGGTCTGGGGCTGCCAGGTATGGGTACATGACAACTGACCATGGCACCACGAAAGTGGTGACAAGCTCGAGCCGAGAGCACATGTTGGCCATTGGGTTGGCTTTGCAGACAAGAGCAAGAGCCATAAAATTTACTGGGAAGGAAAACAGTCAGTTACTGTTGAATGGAGTGTCTACTTTAACAAAATGTACCTTGAAAATGGCAGTAGGACTGAGGGGGAGAAAGAGGATATACATCCACCAGAAATCAGTCCAACACCTGAAGTTCTGACATGCCCTACAACACCTATACAGTCCACGAAGACCCCTGAGCCCACTCCTGAGCCATCTATGCTATGCCGAAGCTCCTGAACAACCACTGATTACAACTACAGAAAGCTGGGCAATCCTGATGCCTGATTACCAGCTGCACCACATGATCTAAAGCCATTGATAAAAGTCAAGGATGTTGTTGATGATGAAGAAACTGGGGGAGCTGCTATGGCAGCAGCTATGTCAGACATGGAAGGTCTCAAACCCCAAACCTTGTCTGAGGCAAAGTGTCGTCCTGACTGGTCTCATTGGGAAGAAGCCATACAAGAGGAATTGAAGAACTTACAGGAACACAGCACTTGGAAAATAGAGGAGCCACCACTGAACGCAAACCTCATTACTTGCAAATGGGTCTTCTGAGCCAAAAAGGATGCCACAGGCAATGTCATCAAGTACAAGGCATGGTTGGTAGCACACAGCTACAAGCAGGAGGATGGCATTGACTTCTTCAGTGATGAAGTATTTGCACCTGTTGCACAGATGGCATTGACATGCACTGTGCTGGCATTAGCAGCATGCTATGACTTCGAAATTCACCAAGCAGATATTAAGGGTGCTTACCTCAATGGAGACCTTGTCGAAAATGAAGTCATTTACCTCAAACATCCTTCTGGTTATCCCCTCTCTGCTTCGAAAACTTCTGCATTGCGACTTTGCTGCCCGATCTATGGTCTTTGTCAGTCTGGCCGTTACTGGTACATCAAGTTTGGAAACACCTTGAAGGAGCATCTAGGGATGATGCAATGCGAGGTTGATCACTCAGTGTACTATCACCATGACAGAAAGGACCTGGCGATTATCGTCGCAGCTGTTGATAACTTGACAATTGTGACATCAAGCATAGAGCTGATGAGTGAAGTAAAATTGAAGCTGAAGGAGGCATTCGAGATCACTGATATGGGGGAGATCCACTGGCTATTAGGGATGGAAATCAAACAAGACAGAGAGGCATGCACCATTGCCTTATCCCAAAAATTGTACATTGAATCCGTGGTCAAGCGGTTCAATCTCGAGGACACAAAACCCTCTGCTATCCCTATGGACCCAAATGCTCACCTATCTGTCAACCAGTTGCCTCAAACGATGCATGAATTTGCAGAAATGCAAAATGTATCCTATAGAGAGGGAGTTGGCTCCATCATGTACACATCAGTAGGCACTCAGCCGGATACCATGTATGCAGTCACAAACCTCTCCAAGTTCTTCAATAATCCTGGAATGGCTCACTAGAATGCCATCAAATGAGTTATCTGCTACCTAAATGGCACTAAGGACTGGTGGCTAGTCTATGGTGGAAAACCCCAGGAATTGGAGGGATTTGTTGATGCAGATGGGAATTCAAATGAAGATAGATTTGCAATAACTGGGTATGCATTTTTGATAGATGGGGGAGCCATTAGCTGGAGCAGCAAAAAACAAGAAATCATTGCATTGTCGACGGCAGAAGCAGAATACGTGGCAGCAACCCATGCAACAAAAGAAGCACTGTGGCTGCACATGCTGATATCGAAAATCTTCGGACCATACGCTAAGTCAGTCACCCAGGCACCAACAATGCTCAATTCAGACAATTAAGCAGCAATTGCATTAACCCAAGATCACCATTACCATCCCTGCACGAAACACATTGACATCCGCTTTCATTTCATTTGCTGGATCGTGCAGGAGGGAAAGATCAAGCTGATATATTGCCCCACTGATGATATGATTGCCGACACTCTTATGAAGCCTCTATCATCAATCAAGGCTAAGCACTTTGCTGCACATCTTGGACTTTGCTTGGTCTGAGGGGGAGTGTTGGATAATTGGTTCATCCCAATGCAAGATCTGGACTTAGTATTAATCAGCTAGCAAGTGCCCAACACTTCAAGCACTTTCTTTCTTACTCAGATGGCGCATCATACACCTGCTATTATTACTAGAACTTTCTTTGCACTTAGGTATAAATATGAGACATACTCTGTAGTAGCATAGAAAATCCACTCTACTCTTATTACTCTACCACTTCTATAATATCACACTGGCATCCTGTACACAATGAAAAGGCTCTCTGATGATACAATTACCTCTGTTAACTGTTTCCTTCATTCCTCCCACATGTTGAAGAGGCTGGCAGTGGGCACCTGTGAAATAGTGAGTGGGCTAAGAGACAAACCTCACAACCCACACACACATTCATATAAACTACACAATAGACAATCACCCTTGTAAGTTCTAGGAGGAGTAATTATTTCTAATATGACCTGCTAGTACTTCAATATCAAGTAGAGTTTCTCATATTCTCAATACTCTTAGTAAGACTAAGCTTTCTCAAATGAATTTCTAAGTCTAGGAACTTTTACAGGAAGAAAGTTCATTAGCACGATGCAACCTTCAAGGCAGATTCAAGTTATTATACATAAGGGACACTGATTCCAACAGAAACAGAGATGATACACATTAAAACTTTAAAATTGAGTTATGGCATGAGAAACATCAGAACATTTAAACAGGACTTAGTCATAGCACTGTACCTGATGGGCATGCTTGAGGAAAAGGCCAAACCCTAAACTAAGATGTTGTATGCTGTAACTTAGGTGTGCACTCATGGGAGTTAAATGGAACTTTGAAGATTGCATTAATATTGAAGATATGTGGCAAGCTCACTAACTATGATGTATTGTATCTGAAAATCCAGGAAAATCCCTATGTGAGATGACAGATACTCCAGGCATAGCCTTGGGCAGTGGGTTTTGGCTGAAATCCAAGTGCCTGAATCTCATTGTTTGAAGACTCATTGTTGCTGTATTTACGAGAACTCTCTGTGAATCTAGGAAAGAAGCATTGAGAGACATATGCCAAAACTGATAGTTTCACATGCCTAGACCTGTCAGTCATTAGAGAATAAGCCTGCAAGTGTTGGGCAAGCACCTCTACTTATACTACAGGAAATTAGAATTACAAATGTTGTGCAGTACCCAGACTCCTACATGCATAGCCTACCACCACTGCCACCTTACTGAGCATTCAGGTCAGACTTTCCAGTTTTAGTCTCTTTTCCATAGTGAGCTCACTAAATGTGTGCCAAGGGATGCTTGCTTCAATATTAATGCAATCTTCAAAGTTTCATTTAACTCCCATGAGTGTACACCTAAGTTACAGCATACAGCATCTTGGTTTAGGGTTTGGCCTTTTCCTCAAGCATGCCCATCAGATACAGTGCTGTGACTAAGTGTTAGGATCATGCCAATAGAGACAAGAAAGAGATTGTATGTAATGGAGACCACAGAGTGCATAGGATGTAGGTTAGAGACCTTCATAATTGTGCACCTGGGTACATCTGTATCCATGACCATGGGTACCCATGGCTCCAAGGCCATACCCATCATCTGTGCCAGCATCCATGGCATGGATGATATGGACCCACACCACATGTACCCACATCCATGGCAGGTACCCACACTCACCTGGGTATATACAGGCACCTGCATAATACCCATGCAATTCTCACTCAGTAAACTAAAATAAACTACAATAAACACATAACTAACATCTAAGTGACTAATCTGTCTGGCATTAAGCCTCACACAGTGAATAAAGAAGAGGAGGAGGAGGAGGAGGCTGACCTATACTGACAGTGACATTGCCAGAGCAGGGAGAAATGGACTGGGGTCGTTTTGGGATCGTCTGAAAGGCATTGAAGAGGGCTTTTGAACCCACTAACAATGAAGGGAAACGGTCAAAATGTGAAGAAGATATGCCCTAAACAAAATGATGGCTCAGTCAGACAGTGATGGCAATGATAAGGGAGCAGCACCATGAGATGGTAACAGATGAAGGACACTAAGAAAGTGTCAGAATATGTCAAAAAAGAGCTTTAAGGGAGTACCAAGTATGTAGGGAAGCACCCATCCAAACCCAAGATAGCTTGAATATGCTCTCCATCCCCTGCCAAAACAAAGATCCTGCTATAATTCTGCAATGATGTGGCCAATTTTAGCGAGTAAGAGGTTGGTTTGAAGCCACAAAATAAGGCTTTTGAATGCTTTAGATGCGAGAAAAATGGGTGAAAAATGATGGAAAAATCTTTGTCACAAGATATTGATCTAAGCTTATGATGTGGAGATTTGATGTGGGGGGAGACTGTAAACATGTGGGAGTTCAGAGTTGAGGTCTAGGACCAAGTAGGGATGTGCACCGTATCCGTAATATGGTGGATACGTACGGCACATATGGATATGGGTCCGTACCGTTGCGAGTGCGAGACTGCAAGGTACCGTACGGTTCACGGTACGGTGAGTACCCATAACAACCGTACGGGACAAGCCGTTACGGCCGTATACGGCAGCTGCAACTAATATGAAACCGAAGCCACTTTTGGTACTCCCTTTCCGCTCTCTCATCTGAAAATTGCTTGCCACGGTAATCTGTCGAGTGTTTCAACTTAAATAATTCAACCTGGTACAAGGTACGCCAATTACCTGACCAACCTACTCCAATGAGCCATGCATAGTCCCCCTCTCTCTATGACAATTTGCATTTGTCTCAGCAATGTGCAAGTTCCCGTCGTCAATCTGTTTTTTTACAAATCAAACCAGTACCGTATCACCTGGCACGATGCAACAAACTCCAGAGTATTAGATGTGCATACCTCACTCATTCCTTGCTTAGGTTCCCATTGTTGTCCACACTCACTGCCACTCTTACGATACAGACCACCAAAATGACTTTGCCCACGCGATTCATGAACACAAGATGTGTAAGTCTCTTTGATTCCCTGAAAGACTTCGAAACTGACTGTTTTTATAGTAGATCTTCTTTTCTCTACATGGAGACGACAATGACTATTAGTATTATGCTGCGGAGAGCATGCAGGTCTTTTGAGTGTATTCTATGACCGTAATACGGCCGTTACATCCGTACATATACCCGTACGTACCGTGAATCTCGCTTTTCTTGCTCCTACGGTATGGACACGGTCCATCCGTATCCGTATCCATCCGTCAGGGGTACGGCTGTATCCGTAACGGTACGGTGCACATCCCTAGGACCAAGGACTAAGGTAAAATGACTGACTGAGCCATGTCTGAGCACCAGGAAGATCTGTGTTGGAAGTACAGAGGAGAATGTAAGAGAGAGAGAATTAATTGGCCTCTCAAGGGAGAGACACTATACTTAAATACAACTTGTACTACTTCTAGAATATACTACAAATTACTTTATCTGTCTACTTTGCAGCCCAAAGATAAAGCTGCTTATTAATGCTGAAGCTTCAAGTACATTCTTGTACTTACTCAGGATTGCTATCCCAACACTCCCCCTCAATTCTGAGTTCCTAGAATACTTGCAGATAAATATTCATGTAGTGGTCTTGGTAGTCCTTTAGTGAATATAGCTGCTAAGTTCTCCTCTGAGGTGCAGTGCTGAACATTGACTTCATTTGAAGCCATGCACTCATGAAAAAAATGATGATGGATATCAATGTGTTTTGATTGCATGTGGAATATTGGGTTCTCAGTGAATTTGATCGCTGATTGATTGTTGACAAAAATAGTAGTTGCACCATCAGGTGGCAACCCTAATTCAGTTAGAAGCACTCGCAACCATATTACTTCTTGAGTTGTGTGTGCAAGGGCCATATACTCTGCTTCTATAGTGGATAGGGCTACAGTGGGCTGTTTCTTTGAACTCCAAGTAACAGCTCCCTCTGCATAGATATAGACATAACCAGATGTTGATCTTCTATCTGTTCTGTCTTCTTCCCAGTCTGAATCTGAGTAAGGTATCAGTTCATCTGTAGTCTCTCCATATGTAACTCCTAAGTCTAGAGTCCTCTTCAAGTAACGGAAAACTTGTTTGAGGGCTGTGACATGCTCAGCAGCTGGATTCTGCACATATTTGCTTAATTCTGTGACAGCATGTGCAACATCAGGCTGGAATCCATTTGCCACATACATCAGAGATCTGACACTAGTGTGGTAATACTATCTGGTGGCTGTGTCAGTGTCTCAGGAATCACCTTCAGGAAAAATTTCTAGCCATACATTTGGGTCCATAGGCATTTTGACCAGTTTACAGTCTTTCATGCCCATTCTCTTGAGTACCTTGAGAATATATGTCTTCCAGAATAAGGTAATAGTGCCCTTCTCCCAATTTCTATCTATCTTCATGCCCAATATATGTTGAATCTTCCCCATGTCTATAACATTTAACTTCTTCTTAAGTTCTTCTTTCATGTTAGACATAGTTTCATTATCTGAGGCAAGCAATGTCATGTCATCTACATGCACAGCTATAATTATGGGGCCTGATTTCACTTGTCTAATGTACACACATTGATCACTGATCAATCTCATGTATCCAAGTCTCAAAAATATAGTGTTTAATTTTTCATTCCAAACTCAGCCAGATTGCTTGAGTTCGTACAATGTGAATTTGAGGTGTGCTGCCTTGCTGCTTCCATCAGAATATTCTGGCAGTTGAGCCATGTAAATGGATTCATTGAGCTTTCCATTTAGGTAAGCTCTAATGACATCTATTCCATGTATAATCAAGTTTCTTTGAGCAGCAATGGCTATAAGTAGGCAGAATGTGTCCAGCCTGATAACAGGTGCATATGTCTCAAAGAAATTTGTGCCTTTTGCAGCTGGATTATTGAGCAACCGGTAACTTGGTTGATTGATTGATTGTGATCTGGACTGATTTGGTATATGGCTCGATCACCTTTCTATGCTAAATGGGAAGCTTTGATTTGGTTGCCAAGGCATCAAGGGGCATTTCTCTTTTTGATTTAACAATTTCGGCAGCCATGGAATTATCAGACATATCATCATTTCCACCTAGAGTCTGCTCAACATTGTTCTCTGACTCTCCCTCAAGTGATGAAGGGTGGGACACAATATAGTCATTGTCTGTAGACTCTTTAGTGTTGTCATCAAGGAATATAACATTTCTTGAGGTTTGAATCTGTCTGGTCTGAGAATTATAATATCTCCAAGCCCTAGATTCATCTGTAAGACTTGTAAAAATGAACTCCCTTGATTTTGGGTTGAGTTTTGACCTTTTGTTATCTTGTTGCAACACCCAGCACTTTACTCTGAACTCCTGGAGTGTTGAAATGTCTGGTTTTGTGCCCCAAAACACTTCTTTGGGGGTTAGATTATTCTTGATGGCCTTAGTCAGTGATCGGTTCTTCAGGTATGTGGCATATGCCACTGTCTCAGGCCATAGGAATTTTGGCAAGTGATGTTCTTCTAGCATAGCATGCACATGCTCCACGAGAGTCTAATTGACTCTCTCCACAATTCTGTTTTGGGGTGGTGAATATGTGGCAGTCAGTTCCAACTGGATGCCATTGTCATGGAGGTATTCCTTCCCATTATCAATCTTCATAAACTTCAGGTCCTCCTTTTTGTGGACTTTGATGTATTTTTGGTACTGCTGGATTTTCTTTTGGATCTCCATACCTTCTTTTGACTTGAGAAAATACAACATTGTTCTCTGAGATTTGCCATCTGTGAAGCTTATATAATATCTTTCTCCATGAATACCCTGAGTTCAGGCTGATCCCCATAGGTCCAAAAATATCATTTCACCTATTCTTGTATATTTCCTTTGAGCTTCTTGCAGAAACGGCTCAACATAGTGCTTGGCCTTTATGCAGGCTTTACAATCCTTCTGAGGCTCAGCTGACTCATCCACATCCATACTCTTGACCATCTTCTTTCTGAATAATCTCTTTACTGATCCTATATTTAAGTGGCCCATCACTTGGTGCTACTTCTGCCATGATTGGGCTGGTTTAATTGCATGGGCTTGAGTTATTTCTGGCATGATGATGTCAAGGCTATACAGCTTTGAAATCTTATCTCTGTGACCAATTTTCTTGCCATGCAGTGAGATAATATCCATCCAGGATCCTTTGAATTTGAGTTCAAACCCAGCATCCATGATGCACCCTAGCGAAATAAGATTGAATGGTGCCTTGGGACAGTGAATACAATCCTTCAGTGTAACTGAAGCAATCTTGTCCCCTTCAACCATTTTAATCTTTACTGTTTCTCTTCCCAAGCCTTTTGACTTTCCTACACCAATAACTTCATGTTCTGGGGTCTCAACATAGTCAGAAAAATGCAATCTGTTCTTGATTATATGTTTAGTTGTTCCTGAGTCCCCTAGCCATGATGACCCTGCAAGTGTAACAAGTGCAGTGTCTGTAGTGCAAAATGCATAGTCTTCTTCATCTGAATCCAATTTGGCAACATGTGCCTGGGTCTGGCCCTTTCCTTTCTCCTTCCATGACTTTCCAGAATTCTTCTTTCCATTTGAGCAGTTTGTCCTGATGTGACTGGTTTTTCTGCATCTGTAACATATGATTTTTGAGTTGGACTTTTTCTTGTCATGTGCTGCAAGTGTTGTGGTTGGATCAGAAGTCTTTTCTCATAATTGGATGTCTTCCTGAAGAATTTGGGAAATCAATTTATAGGAATCTTTCAAGTCTGCAGTGTCCACTGATGAAATGAATGAATTCCACAATTCTAGGAGTGATGTAAGTAGTGTAATAGAGAAGTCCTCCTCCTCAACTTTCTGCTTGAGAGATGCCAGCTCCTCCTGATAGGATCTCATAGTCTTAATATGTTCCTCTATATTTATTCCTTCTTCACACTGAGCTCTAAAGAATTTCCTTCTAACAAGAACAATTCTCATGGGTTCCCTGGACTCATACATGTCTTTTAGAGCTTTCCAGGCTTCTGCCGAAGTCTTCAAACCAGCAATATACACCAGCAGGCCATCCAAAACCCACAACCTTATTGTTGAAAGAGCCTTCCTATCACTCTTCTTCCAATCTGCCACCAGTGCCACTTCTGCCAGGGCCAGAGTGCTTCTATCTGCATAATCAATTAGACCTAAATTGGTTAGGATATCAATCATCTTGATCTTCCACATCGGATAATTTTCTGAGCCTTTAAGAGAGTCAATTCTGTAAATGGACTGGCTATCCATGTGGTTCTGTATGTGTACATAATGTACAAAAGTGCAAAGTAGGTAACAGTGTAAGTAGTTCAGTTAAGGCTGAGGCCCATAATCTGTTGGAAGTACAGAGAAGAATGTAAAAGAGAATTAATTGGCCTCTTAAGGGAGAGGCACCATACTTAAATACAACTTGTACTACTTCTAGAATATACTACAAATTACTTTATCTGTCTACTTTGCAGCCCAAAGATAAAGCTGCTTATTAATGCTGAAGCTTCAAGTATATTCTTGTACTTACTCAGGATTGCTATCCCAACAATCCATGAGAGGGTAAGATGGTGGGATGAGAGAGTATTCCAGTGGCTGTGCAGATACAGGCAGATATCTGTGATAGGTACTCATCACATGCAGAGCCATACCTGGCAATCATAAAAGTCTCTAATGTAGGTGAAGCTATTAGCAACATCATCCCTGAGCCGAAGCCCTAAGATGATTATGGATGAAAGTCCATGGAGTGACAGAGATGAGATAAGAGATAAGTCTAATGGATTGGAGTTCTGTGGACTGGAGAGTGAGAGTTTAGACTTAGAGTCAGAGAGAGAATTAGGCTGAATCAAGTTGATATTTGAACTGAGTATCTACAGTGTAATTCCATGGTTTATATACTAGTTAGGAGTCCAGTCTAATTCTGATTCAGAGTGGTCTACATTCTAGGGTGGTCAGATATTCTATTCTACCAGTTGGTAGCCTATGGAGTCTGATAACATACTTTACTACTGATGTCAGACACTTGATAAATTAAAATAGAGAGATGAAATATAAAATAGAATATAAAATAGAAACTGGGAATCAGAATCTATAGGATTCTGAATTGCAGTTTGTTGGAGTCCAGCTTAAGATCGGAGTTCTGTTGGCATGCACATTATATGATGAGAGGTTTTGCAGTGCAAGCAGATGTTTGCATGATGATATTTGTGACTGATTTCTTTTGTAGTTGCAGCTTGAAGGCTGTCATCTTCAATGGATCTGCAGTCTCAGGCTGTAAGGAAAGACCAGAATGAGGATGAGAGGAGGATAATGTGTGTTGAATTGATGTCAGAGTGGAGGCCTTGAGTGCAACAGAGGTTTGTGATTGTTGATTTTCTTCAGATGCTTTCAATGCTGATGCTATAGAATGTTTTGATACTTGTGCTGCTGCAGTGGGTTTTGAAAGAGTTGGCTTTAGTCTACTCAGCACTGAAGTAGTCTGTGTAGACAATAACACAGATTTGCCAGAATGAGATGATACTCCAGCTTTCAGGAGGATATTAGGACATGATGATCCAGAAGGTCTTGAGATAACTGTATCAGATAGCAAGACTCATCCCCCAGATCCAGCCACAGAATGAGATGATTTTTCAGATTCAGCTTAGATCAATCCTCAACTGGTGTTTGGTGTTGAAGTGCTGGAGCTCAAAGATTGTTGTCCTGCAGAGTTTGGATGACAAGAAGTGTCATTTTCAGGTGTGGCATCATAGTCTATCAGGTCCAAATGATTTGACCTGAGGCTAAGAGGATTTATAAACATTGAAGTTGAAGCATCAAGAAAGGAGTTGTTATCCTGGCCTACTGTCTCATGGTGTGTATGTTTCTACACAAAAGCATGGCCAGATGTTCCTGACTGCAAGCATAAAAGCAGATCAATTCTAGGTGTCATGGAAGGCATTAACTCAGATGATTTGTGTCTTTTGGATCTATTTGGTTTAGCTGACTTTGTGAACCTGACAGGTTGACCACTGCTTTAACATTACTAAGTATATGCATCAATGGCAAGACTGACTGACACCTACACTATGCAGCTATATAATTTCTATACAGACTGCACAACTGTATATGGGTGCTCTCAGCAGTTATTATGCTCTTGCTATTCATGCTAAGCCAGAAATGGATTATTGTAACTAGTGACAGAATTCTCATGGTTGATTTGTACAGTGTTGTATGGGCCAGTGAAATGCCAAAATTATTGAGGCTCTGGAATCACCATAGAAGTTGAAATATTTGTGATCGGACTGGACCAAAATAACTATTAAGACACAAAATACTATGTTTGTCACAAATATAAGCATATTTGGCCAGAGAAAGACTATATCAGACCTTATCAGTGCAAAACATCTTATCAGTGAAATATGGGCCAGTGAGACATGTCACATCACACATGATATACTAAACTGAGACATCAATCAAATTTTAATCAATCTCATCAGACCCTGAAACAGAGCCACTATAATTACTCTCCTGTCCCTCCTCTGCTCTCTTCTGACTCATTGTCAATACTAACATCACCTTCACCAACATCTGTTACATCCTGAGCTGCATCTCCAGGTCCCTCACAATGCTCTGAAGTGGCTGTCTTCTGAAATGATTTCAATGTTGGTTTCTTCTTCTGCTTCTCCAGCTTGAAATCAGCTAATTTTGGCTTCTTCCATCCAATCTTCCTTCCCTCAGCCTTTGCATGATTTGTTCCTTTTTCTATTTTATCACATGGTTCTGGTATTTTGCCTTCTTTCTCTTATTGATGGACACATAGCTCTCTTCCTGCTGCTTCCATGCTTCCATTGCAGCCTTGTGAAGTATCTGTAGTACTCATTCCAGATCTCCACGGTGTTGTCCCACTGCCAGATCCAGGGCCATAGCCCCCCTGAGCAAAAGGAAGCCTCCTGGGGGTATCTTCTGAAAAGATAATCCACTGGTTTTCGCTAAGCAGGGATTCTGAGTGGGTGTAGTACTCTGGGAGCTGCTCATTATTACTGTCAGAGTACTCAGTGAATACGACATCATCGGGTCCATCTTCAATAACATTGCTGGTGGAAGGCTCTGAAATGTGGGCAAAGTGAGACTCAGTGAAGTTTCTGAGGTCAGCAATGGTAACAAGGTTCCGAGGGAGAACTTCAGATTCAGGTTGGGGTGAGGGCCAGACAAACTCCAACTTGTAGATGGGATTGTCATCCCACCATGAAGAGGGTTCTGAAATTCTGTAGGTTCTATCGGGGGTGTATAACGGGAGAAAGACTGGGGCAGTGTACCACTCTGGCTCCAAAGATTCATCTCTTCGATACTCTTCTGTTTCTCCCATGCTATCTCCTGTGCTATCCACTCTTTGTACATCTCATCTCTCTCCTCATTCCTGGGCAGAGAGGAACAGATCTTTGACTTCTTCGAAGGTGGTTCTTCCCCCAGTTCATCCATTAATGATTCAATTGAATACATCAATGTAGAACCTTCAGGTCCCTCTCTGGTAGAGGTGCTCTCCATCATCGTTGACTCCTGGTATGGTGGCTGATAACTCTGTGGAAGTGATTGATGGTTCTCTGGAGTTGTCATTATTGTCCTATGTTGTGGCATCCCAGGATCCCTCCATATTGGTCCAGTACCAGACTGTAAACCTGAGGTCTCTGTCATCTGGAGGGATGCCGAGTCATCCAAGCTCTTCTTTGTGAAGGGATTCTTTGCCTTCATGGTCTCACTGATCCTCAATCTGAAGCTTGAGCATGAGGGCATGGTCTTCTCTGTCAGATAAGAGGTGTCGAAGTGTGTCTCGCTCCCCTCTTGGCCTGGGTATGATTGACCAGAGCCAGACAGTACTTCCTGTTCATGAGGTTCTGGTTGATGAATCTTTGAGTCCATGTACTCTCCCTCTTCTGGGGGTTGGTGCTCTTTGGCATCAGGTTGGTCAGGTAAAATGGATAACTGCAACTGCAGTTAATAGTATCAAGATACTGAAGGTACTTCTGAAGATAATGGTGGTGTGGTCTGAGGGGGTGAGAGGCATAAAGCTTGTTGTACCACAACAAACATTTAGGGTCTCAAGGTATGATAGGTGCCATTTTACAGATAACAGGCTGAAGTTTTAAAAGTATAACAGTGACTGCATTGAAATGGTACAGTTACCATTGTCAAACAACAGTAAGGGTAGTAAGGGCAAGCTTCAGCTAAATGTTATGCACTAACTCTGGTCTGAACCAAAGTGTGACCTCTGTGCTGACACTCACATTTGGTGATTCAGCATTGGAGGGTCTTTGGCAGATGAAGAGAAGTTAGACATTACTTAGATAGCGAGAGCAAGGAGCTTGTAAGAGTTAGAAGTGTATAAACTTAGCCAAAGCTGGGGTCTAAGGCCACAGCATAGGCTAGCTTAAATACATGTTCGACTTGTACTAAGAATAGTGTCTACTGGGGCACATGCAATGAGAAGTGTGCTCTGTAGTGAATGAGGAGTAAGGACACTAAAAGAAGTGTGTCCCCAATGAATGAGAGTAAAGAGTGCATATTACCTGCATAGACATGGGACTCCATCTGAATAAACCATATCTCATAAACCACTCTCAACTAAGGTAGACAAAATCCACAGGTGATGGGTTCCACATGGCCGATCATGACACCAATGCTTGATCACAATGCTGCCCAACGAAGACATTTTGGAACAAATTAAAAGCATAGAATGTTTAAGGGAGATAGATAGACAAGATATATCTTTTTACTTTTTCAAAAAATTCCTTCCCGGTGACACAGTATGAGTAAAGATTTTTATTTTCAAAAAACCTCTAAAACATCGAAAGGAAACAATTGGCAGGAGGTTGTGAAATTTCATCCTCGATAATTTGCCACTTTTCCAAGCTTTGTTGACCATGCACATGCCCAAATTAAAACAGAATAAGCGGATAAAGAACTTCCCATAGGCATTGAAAGTGAGTTCAGAAACATCTGTGGCCATGAATATAACTTTACTCACCAGTATTGCAGAAAAAGGCTAAACTCTCAGAGTCAGAGCAGTCCAAAAATGATTCTGACAGTGAATCTTCCATGGAATCCATATCCGAGAGCTTAGAGACTGAGTCAGAAGAGTCTCTGGCCATCCAAGAGCACTATACAGACTTTAGCCTTGATTGTCACATTGCAGACATGGGATATGCTGCCAGTGAGCTTTCTGAAGACTCAAGGCTTGGTGATGTTCCATCAGATGAAGCAAAAACAGTCATGGAGAGATGGTTAAAGCTTGGAAAGGATATCTTAAAGAGGCTGGTGGAGAGACAGGTTGAAAGGCCAGGGATAGAAAAGACAACAGTGAGAGGAAAATATTTCAAGACATGCCCACTTGGCTCAGAACCTTCAGAGCATACACAGTGTTTACATCATGCCCAGGAGAAGAACATGAAGCAGCATGGGACCAGGTTGATGGACTGGCTAAGAACAAAAACAACACATCAGGATTCACCCCTACAGCCAAGCACATCTTCCTCATCAAAGATCATCATTATTGACATTGCTGATTCAGACTCATCATGCAGTATCCCACCTGATGAGTCCATTACCTCTTCATCCACCTCTGTATGAAGCCAATCTGCATCACTGTCAACCAGCCCAGGCTCACTGTCCCACCAAACGAGTATCGAAGAGATTAAGGATGAAAACAAGATAGTCATGCATGCCTAGGCTCAAATGTGGTCACTTCCAGACTCTGTTGATGCCATTCTCATGGATGTTGATGATGAGATTTCAGATATGCCTGCAGGTGCACTGGAGATGAAGGTGGAAGATGATGAGACTCTGGCATGGAGAGGTTAGGATTTGGGTGACAGTGAGAATGATGGACAAACAAATTCAGGTGGTTCCTGTCAGAGGACTGGCACTGCATGAGAGTCAGAAGAAGAGAAGGAAAAACATGCACATAGATCATGACACATGATTCCCCATCCTGATGCCATCAATTGTTCCATTAAATGAATCAAACTGCTTCTGCATCCTCCTTGGAACACAGGGCGAGGGTTCAAGCCAACAAAGATTGCTAACCAGGTCCTTCGAGGATGCCTCAAGTTGATGCTTCAGTTTTTACAACTGTACACATTGCAGGAGTATATAGGCTGGACTGCTGCCTCAGACCTTGTGGCATGTTCGCATGGGTGGGGTTCTTTATTAGCATGACATCTTCATGAATGGTGCATTGAACATGCCCAATCAAATGATTTTTTGCCTACAGCACACTATGGAAAGCACAACAGCTTTATTCTTGAGGATGAAGATCTCGCCAATAAGATCCATCTGCATCTGCAAGGTCTGGGAAAGTACATCAAAGCCCAGGACATCATTAATTACCTGGCACAGCCATCTGTCCAAGCTTGACTGCAAACAAAGAAGACAATTTCTCTGTGCACGGCTCAGAACTGGATGCATAGAATACAGTATCGGTGGAAGAAGGAGCCAAAGGGAATGTATTCAGATGGTCACAAACATGATGATGTTGTCGATTACCATCAGAACAAATTTCTGCCACAATGGGCGGTGCTGGATCTGTGGTGTCGGTGGTGGGACAAAAATGATGAAGAAATTCCTCACTCATTTGTTGCTGCACCCAATGGGAAGATTGTTGTCATATGGCACCATGATGAATCCATTTTCTATGCAAATAACCAGCGCCTCACATGCTGAGTTCACGCCAAAGAGACTGCGAAGCCATACACCAAGGGTGAGGGTGTCTTAATGATGGCAGCAGACTTTGTTTCACCTGATTATGGATGGCTAAGGGCTAAGGGCTAAGAACTTTGACATGTGAGTGTTTACAGTCAATCCAAGGCTGAAAGTAACTCAATAACCAGTTTCTGCAGTGCAGATCCACTCACACAAGGTCACACTATTTTCAGACCAGAGAAGAACTGTGACAGATACTACACAAATGCAGAAATTCTTGAACAAGTAATGAAGGCAATGGATATCCTTGACCATGATTACCCCAATGAATGGCACATTTTTGCTTATGACAATGCAGCCACTCACACTGCTTGTGCTCCCAATGCACTATCAGCATCAAAGATGCCTGCAAAGCCAAGTAAAACATTTTATTGTAATGGTGGTGACTCCATTAGAATGTGAGATGGTTCATTTCCAGATGGCTCACCACAGTCCTTCTATTTTCCCAACAATCACCCTGATGTCGAATTGTGTGGCCTGTTCAAAGGCATGAAAGAGATTATTCAGAAATGTAATGAGAAGGGTGCTGGCCTTCCAGATCTGTATGTGAAGAAGTTTCTTGCCTAGTGCAAGAATTTCAAGTGTCCTGCAGATTGAACAGATTGTTGCTGCCATTGGGTTCTTTACTGCCAGCCAGACTTTGTTAATCAGAAGTCCATTCTTCAAGAGCATTGTGCTGCTTGGGGATATGAGGTGGTATACTTTCCAAAATTTCACTGTGAACTTAATTTCATTGAACAGTGTTGGGGGTATGCGAAATGTCTATACCGCTGATGTGCTTGGTAATGGGCAGCGCGCAAATGAAACAAGCATCTAGATCGTCAATCTAGATACTAAATCACACACACACACACACTATCACCAATGTATATAATTTCGAGGGTGAGTACGATAGAAGCACTTGCGATGTACTTAGATTTAGATAACCTAGTGGGGTTTTGTCTGAAAACAACTTCAATTCTTCTTTCAATGTGTTTTACGCAAAGTACACTAGTCCGCGATAGCAGTTTTATGAACTTGTTTTGCAAGGTATAGTCGAGCAAGTTATACTTGTTTTGACGTCGTCTAGAAGAGCTTCTAGCAGACACTTCAAATAATCAAACAACCAAAGATTCTGAGGTCTACAAAGAGTGCAAAATCACTCTACAAAGAACACACAGGTTCTGACTTCAAGTACAAGACTTGCAAAGAGTACACAGACTCTGGAGTTCCTTGAACCCGACAATTGTTCGAACTTTAAAGCGTTCTAGGGCTTATTTTACTTCAACTAGATGAGATCTTTTGACTTAAAGTCGACTCAGCATGTCTAGATCACTAATCTCGGAGAGAGAGAGCACAAGGCCTTTGTCCGCAGAGCAGTTTAATTAACTAGCAAGGCGCAAACGTGGGGACGGCTCTACTTCCTACTTAACTCTTCTAGATTACTGTAGTCACCCTTATGGGTTGACTTTGGTAACTTAATTCACTTCAGTCGAGGATATGCAATAAAACCAGTGATTGATTAGGTAGCTATACAGGCTACTAGCACAAACATGGGGGAATGCTTTCCTGCCGTTATGCATCTAGTCGCTGCTAATTTATACGATTCGTGTTCTAGGTATAGGAGCCCATATCTACAGTAATTATAGTACGAGCTTTGGAATTAATACAAATGGTGAGTCACTATCCTACAAGTATCGCGCCATTCTGTAGTTTCTATTCAGTTCGACACGACTGCGCCGGGTTATTCTGTCGCTGAGGAGTGCCCTACTAGTCCGTGGGTGCTCCTTCTTCCATCTGCAAGGCTTGCCACGCACCGTATGTATGGAATACTGTGGTATGCACAGGATCTTGAGGATGTAACCACTGATCGTGATCGACTGTAGGTCTGAGATTATATTCTGTTGATCACTGCACGATCAAGGTCAGTCATCTCAGTACCCAACGTGGCTATTCATTCTTCCAAGGTTATTCCTGTCCTAGCCTGAGTTGATCTCAAAAGCTGATCTGTTTCTCGACTTAGCAATTTTTCTTGACTGGTTCTTTCTACTCATCGAGGCGACAAGGCATCTAGTTCATTCCATTCTTCAACTTCTTGGTTTTTATACTCCATACAGACGAGTCCCTGAGATTTGACTGTAATAGTCTTGTTTAGGTAGGGCTTAGCTTGGCGTGTTGATGGCTGGTAGAATTGACTCTTTGAGACGTCGTTTCTAAGTCCATTTTGTACTGCCGTGCTTTCATTCTTTATGTAGTATTTAGCTACCAGCGTGAAGCCTCCACTGTAGCTCTCTGTACCACTTGTAGATTGCATAAACTAATGTAAAATCACAAAATCTACGGGTAGCCTGATACCAGGTGTATCACCGCTTATGCCCAACATCCACCAAGGAAGATGATCTTGAACGGAACATGCTTCAATCACTTGATGCTGTAACCCTTAAAAAGCATATAGAAGTATGCTATTTTTGTATCATTTCTAAGATTGTTGCTCAAATTCACTACTAGATTCGCAACTCGCTCAAATTGCTTTATGGATGCCTACCAGAAGCATCTAAATGGCCAGAAAACAGCTTGGGCAGGCAAGAAGTACTATGGTCATTGTGTTCTTCCAGAAAATATCCTTGAAAAGTTTGACAAAGCTCACCCTAATGAAAAATAGACACACAAAACAATTATTTTTTCTTCGCCCACTCAAATTTTGTCATGTGACTGTGATAGTAACACTTAGTCATTCCCACATGGAATCCATCACCTGTAGATTTCATCTACCTTAGCAGTTGACTCTTGTCAAACTGCTAAGAAGCATGATGGCACATGTGGTATGTTAGTTATCTGAGAGGCGGCAGCTGTAGACAAGTCATCAGCAGAATGACAGCAACTGAATAAACAGATAGAAGATGTGCCAGCAGATTATCATAGGTCTGGAAGATAAGATAGATAGGTCTGAGGTTCTGAGAGATAAGATAAGATAAGAAAAATAAGGATAAAGTCATAATATGAGTGACATATTAGTGGTGACCCTTGTTGCCAAGTTAGTGCACTACATTTAGCCAAAGTTCGAACCTTTTATTACCATTATCATTGTTCAATGATGGTGATTGTATATCAACTAATCCCTCAAACCATGATACACTCATTTTTGCATACACCTTCAGCATTGTCATTCTCTTAACCACATATTCCACAGTATATTTTACCAGACCTTGACAATGCCAAAGAGTAGCAACCTCAGAAGAGGGAGAGTAAACAGGCTCAATGGCACATCCTCAGGAACCTTCCAAACCAATAGTACCATCCAGTTCAGGCATAGCGCCACCCAGTCCGATGCAGGAACAAGAGTTTGAACCCCTGTATCCTCCAACTAAGACCTTTCCACAGCACTCAACTGCCTCTCTCAGACAGCAGTTGAGTCAGACAGCAGAGAGCATGAAGATAGGCCTTCTCTGGGGAAAAAAGACCTCATGTGTCTATTGCCAGAAATGAAAGAGAGGAGCAAGACATGGGAGGAGGAGATGGAAACATGGCAGGATCAGAAAAGAAAAGAGAATGCAAAACACCAAGCCCAGTGAGTTCTTGGTATTACACCTGAGACAGAACCCCATCCCTCAGTGATTGGAGGTACCAATATTATGGATTTGGAACTCTACAGCATATTCCTTCATCATACCCAAGAGCTTTCAAAGCTGTCCCAGGTTGAAACAACAACCTCTACCTCAACCCACTACCTTGCCCAGACTCCAACACCTTACTCTGGGATATCATCACTATCAGAGACCTCTGCCACTTTGCAGAGCCAGGCAAGCTCCAATACCTAGAGTTTAACTCTGAAAACTACCCAGATGCCTTTACATACACACTGGGATATAGTGAGCAAGTGAACTAAAACAACATGTTGACATTAATACTATGCAGTGCAATGATGCAGAATATAACTTATGGCATAGGAAGCGACAGGATTCTAAACAGGACTTAGTCACAGCACACTGTACCTGATGAGCATGCATGATGAGAAGGCCAAACCCTATACCCAGTACACTATGCTCTAACTTACAAGCACACTTGCAGGAGTTAAATGACACTTTGAAGGTTGCATTGACATTGAGGATAATTAGCACACTCACTAACTATGATATGCTGCACCTAAAAATCCAGAGAAATCCTTATGTGATGTTGTGCCTGCAGCCTGTTTACGCATGTAATTTTGCAATCTGACATATTATACATGCATACTGAGATACAGTGAGTGAGCATGCTAAATGGATGCATTGACACTGAAACTATGCAATGTATGGAGACAATAACTAGTGGTATCATAAGAAGCATAGGAACATCAACAGGACTTAGCTATAGCATTGTACCTGATGGGCATGCTTGACAGGAAGGCCACACCATAAACCCAGTTGCTGCATGATATGACTAGAGCTCACTGTTATGGGAGCTGAGAAACCAACTCAGATTGTATAAGGATTGATGATATTTAGTGAGCTCACTAACTATGATGCATCATACCTGAAAATCCAGGGAAATCCTTATGTGAGATGACAAATATCACCAGTGCAAACTTGGACAGTGGGTTTCAGCCAAAGTCCACAAGTCTGCATTCCATTGTCCAGAGTCTCATTGTTTGAAGACTCACTTGTTACCGTATCTATGAGAAGCCTCTGTGAATCCAAGAAAGAAGTCCTGAAGAACATATGCCAGAACTGATAGTTCTGTATGCCTAGACCTGTCGGCCATCAGAGAACAAGCCTGTGGATGTTGAGAGAGCACCTCTTGGCATGCATTTAGTGAGCTCACTATAAAAATGAGACTAAAACTGGGAAGTCCGACTTGAATGCTCAGTAAGGTGGCAGTGGCAATATGCTATGCACGTAGGAGTCTGAGTACTGTGCAATGTTTGTAATTCTAAATTCCCTGTAGTATAAGTAGGATGGTTACAGTAGGTAGAAGCCAAGTTTCAAGCCCCCAAGTTCCCATGCACGTGTTGAAGGCAGTACTGTGACAAAGGATCAGTTTGTGACTTCAAGCTTTGCATAGAATTAGCGAACTCACTCAGAGAAATACGAGATATCTTTTTGATAAGACTTTTGAGAACTTAGTCAGAGTGAATATAAATCAGTGACACTGTTTCTGTTCTGTTAAGTGTGATAAGTCTGTTCAGAGAATGTGTTGAAGTGGAAATCTGAGTTCTGTTCTGTTCTGTTTCAGTCTGTTTCATGTCAGTTCTGTTTGAAGTTCCATTTCTGAATCTGTTTCCAAGTGCTTCTAAAGTGTTCTTGAGTCAAGATAACCTGCTGGAGTTAGTTGGAGAACCCCTACATACAGTTGTGTAGTGAGTGAGCTAATTCAGTGCTTGCCTGTGGTGTTCTTTTAATGAGCTCACTATTGTTCCAACACATATTATCTCTGTTTCTGTCAGGATATTTGTGTAGTTGTGTAAGTATGTGTGTGGGTTTTTGAGGTTTGCTTTTTAGCTCACTCACTATTTCACAGATGCTCACAGCCAGCCTCTTTAGCAGACAATGCTGAGAGCTAGTATAACTAGTGGGATTATCAGGTGGAATGGATGAGATAAAATACAGTAAGTGATCTAGTTAGAAAAGAGACTCAAGTTGACTTTCATTTATTCATTCCCACTGAACTGAACTGAATCAGCTGGTCACATCATGATGCTTTGATCCTAGAGTGGAGGAGATTAAAATGCTTATATAGTTCCTCAAAATAACCAGTCAGGTTATTCTTGAGTGAGCTGGGTGGGTTATCATCAGATGAGTGAAGCATAAATGTGAGAGGACAAAAGACACACAGATTCAAGCTCTCGCATTAGAAGTCTTTATTTTCTATCAACAAGAGGAAGCTAATAATAGACTGATGACTCTACTGGTCCTGAAGCTGGTAGAGTTGAGATAGTAGAAGCAGCATCTGGCTGCTATGGTAGAAGATATGTTGGAGATGGCAGTAGACAAGGTAGAGGTTGCAGAGGCAGTTACACTGAGGATGACTGCACTGAAGGTGGATAGATTGGTGGCTGTGGTGATTGAAATGGATTCATGCTGATTACAGCTTCTCTGTTTCTTCTGTTGAAGCATGAATGTGGACACCTGATTTTAAGGTAGATAATGAATAGTGTGGAATGCAGCCAAATCATGGCAAACAGCACAGACAATCAGTGAGATGGTCCTCTTGCACAGCCTATTGACCAACATTCATCAGCAGATGCTGGGCACAATTGAGACTGTCTTTTGCTGGAGTGAAGTAGTGCTATGTCAGATTTAAAGATGTTACAGATCAATATGATAAAAGAGTGACAGAGGCAGTACAGATCTGTTTGTCAGATCTGGAGCAACCAATCCTGATTGCAAATAAGTGCAAGACAAGAGAGAACAAAAAGAAAGACTGCCATTTAAGGTGTAGGAACAAGTGGTATAGGTATATTGTAATGAGCTAAAAAGCAAGCAAAGTATATGTAAATTTAATAAAAAGACAGTAAGATATTATTTGTGGCAAAAAAAAATGAGAGCCTGAAAGGAGGGAGAGAATAAATCAACTTATACAGCAGCTGAAGTGGTTCTTATATGCTAAACAAAGCAAGTCCCCTTTTAGGGTTCTGTTCATTATAGGAGATTTTGTTACAGTTTGGCTAAGGGTCTTACAATATTAACATGTTGCAATAAATGCCATGCTATGCACCTTCTCATGAATCTTGGCTAAAACATTTTTTGGACTCTGCTTTAATCATCTTTTCTGCCCTTCTGAATGCTTCTAATAGCTGTGAATGCTCACTAAAAAAATCTGAAAGCTGAGTGAAGCATGAAAAATGATATTTAGCCCATTCATGAGATATTAAGCAGAATATAATAACATATTGTCCAGTAGCCATCTAATAGTCAGAATGAGACCACCTCTCTCTCTGTTCAGGAACATTTCACTCTTCTGTATCAGATTGCAACCTGGACACAAGTCAAAGCCTTCACTTGTCATTTGTTATTATAACAATTCTAGTTTACTCATGCAAATATGTGTACTAGTAAAAAATATGTTAGAATAGAAATATATCTGGTTTACAGCAAGGGAGAACTGAAAGGCAATCAAATCATAGAATATCTGTGCATCACCACAAAAAGAGGGCAAGATTTAGGAATGGGTACATACCAAAGTCATTCATTGTAACACTAGATAAACAAGAGAACCCATTATAAACAATGTAAACAGTAGCATTGGTTATAAAGATATCTGACGTAACTTCAATTTATTGTAAGAGGAATATGAGTCTGAATATAATAACAAATAAACCCAGTGAACAATGAAATACCTTTATAATCTGAGCCGCAACAGGTTGGAGATAATATCTATAGATAAGGGTTTGAGGAGATTATAATACTTAAGAAAGATTTTGTTAACAGCAAGCAATAGTAGTATTCTATATAAAAATCACTGCAAGCCTAAGGCAAACTTCAAGAGATCAGTTAGATTGCAAAAATGGCAATGGAAAAAAGCACTGACAAAAATATGAAGGCATCTAGGCAGTGACTGGTGATAGCTTCAGCCCAATACAAGGTAGCATCCATCCTTGTGATGGGACTCTTGGGCAGATGCACATGTACATTGCCAGTATTGGTACATCTGCTGGGTGAATCAAAAACATGCTTAAAGAACAAT